CCACAGCGTCTCTCCCTTTCCTCCCCTCTTTGATACAGCCTCATTTCTACACTTAGTTGTGGAGTCGGTCTTTGGCTTGTTTGCACTGACGTGTTACCTAGTTGTGTCTGTGGGACTAGGTGAGCTTAGGGTCCTCCTATTCCACCAGTGTCCCCCAAAGTCCTCTTCCTGGGTGGGGGGTCATACGGGCAGAGAAAGTCGTCAAAGGAGGGCAAACTAACATTAATTCTTTTTACAGAGTAGAATCTTTAGCAAAGGATGATTTTACTGCACTGATAGGACTGAAAATAGTTTAGTTTTGATTCCAGGCACCGATCTCATGACTTCAGGGCTGCCCAGTCACCCCCCGGTTTTGCCTCTGGGCCCCAGGAAAATGTCTTCAAGGAGCCACTGAGTGCTTACAGACTCTTCCTGACTCCTGTTCCCAGAGGTACATTAGAAACACAAGTTCTCTTTGGGGAGAGGGCTCTTCTTGGAGTGGGGGTACCCCTTTATCAGGAGCCCAGAGTATCTTGGGACGCCCTCCAGGAAGCCCACGGGGATAGCATACAGCACGGCAACAATCGAGACTTAAAGGACATTTATTTTTTGAAAGGGTGGAGGGGACTTTACAAGTAGAGTCTGTAGCCAGTAACTAGAAAGGAAGATGATAAATAAAATACAAAGCCAGTATGTTGTGGCAAAATCCCAGAAAACACACTGAAAATTTTTTTTACAGTTTAAAACTGCTTTACTTTATACATAATTACAAATTAATATACAGCATCTGGGTTTTAACCCCTTTTATTTAAAAGAATCTAGCACAGAAATGTTCGTCTAGCATTTGAAAACCACAAAAGCAGAGGTATAAGGTGTACGGTAATCGCCCTCCTGCAGGTCCGGGCGTCTCCCCGCGCCCCCAGCGGGCAAGGAACACAGAAAAACCACAGGCTGAACCGTGACTGTGGGCAAGCTGACCGGGCGGGCCCCTGGCGGGTGGCTGCAAAAGGCAGGAGAGCTCAATGTGGGTGAATATCTGGGGTGAAGAGGCAGCGCGCTCTGCTTTGAGGCAGCGAGGAGCCCCCAGCACAGGCCGGGCTCGTGGTCTGGGGCCGGAGGGCGTTCGCCATCTGGGTTTGCCCGGCTTTCAACCTTAGCAAGATGGAGAATTAATTCAAGGCCTGTAATCTTTTGACAAATTAGAGGGGTACAAAGACAGAAGCCTTTGTTTTTCCCTTCCTTTTTGTTTTTACTTTTATGGCAGCATTAAAATACTTTTCACTTTGAAACCTGGCCAGCAAGCAGATTCCAAAGCTCTGGGTAACTAGGAATGTCAGGCTACGCTGGAAGACAAGACGCAAACCACAACAAACTCTTTGCCCTTCCCTCTGTGTCTGCCTGTCGGGGAGCTGGGCCCAGCACCCCCAGCATGCGTGTGTCTGGACGGAAGGCGGGTGGGCAGGGTGCACGTGCCGTCTAACCTACGGGGCTGGTTTTGGGCTTCCACAGTCCGAGGGCGTCCAAGCCTGGCGGGGGGGGGGGGGGGGAGGAGGTCGATCCCCTCTGGCAGAGTCTGGCGTCCCCTCCAAGCCACCCTGTGGACGGCCACTGAGGCCCACTCACCCGTTCCTCCCAGGGCTCGGCTGGCCTGGGTACAACCAGTCACCCATCAACACTGGACTGGACTGCAGCCCCCCCACCCCGCCCTCCCCGACAAATACCAATATCCTCGGGAAGAAAGAACTGGCCATGGAAAAGCCACTGAGAGACCAAGCAATGAAATATCAAGTACTTCTGTGGACAGCAACTTCTGGATCAAGTCCTGGCCTCTAAGGTATGGTTCTGCCCTTCACTTAAGGCAGAGCTTACTTTATCAAACCCCCGCACCCCCATACCTGCCCCCCTCCCAGGAAAGGGACAACAAACCCCAAGGGTCTTGAAAATTTGTGCTTACTGCTACTAGGGGCTCGGGAAGAGAATGAGGGAGAACTATTCTCAAAGAGACAACTTTAGTGATGCTACCCTGAGACACAAGAGGGAGAAAGGTAAGATTCGTACCTTTTCAAAAAAATAATAAAAAAATCTTGATAAGGATTTCTTCCCCACAGATCGCTCTCGCGGGGGTAGAGAATGGAATGTTGGCAAAGGCTGAATTATGGCAATTTGCATGTTTTTAACCCTCTCCGTTTTCAAAGGAGAAAACAGTTCACATAGCTGATTGTCTCAAAAACGAAGCCGACAGATGAGAGCATTTAAAGTGCACGTCACCCAACTGGGATGACAACTTCTGAGATGATAGCATTTTTGAGATAGAATTTTTGAGCCTCCTTCCAGGAACTTCACTAGACTCTGGAAATCTGGGGACTCTGGCTGGTGTCTCTATCTGTCCCCCTAAAACTTAACCACAAAGCCCAGCATCTGCTTTCTTGTGCTTGCTGGAGGACACAACAGGGAACCGCCTCTGGAACCAGAGCGGTTCTCAAGGTCACAAGCACAAGCAGCAACAACCCAGGTAGTTCTCCAAGCATGACAAAGAAGTCCCTGGAGTTCAGTTTCCGGGGGGGGGGAAGGGGAGGGGGAGGAAGACATGTCAAAGCACGGCTCTTAATAAGCAGTTGTCTCTCTGCACTGGAGACTCGATTTTGGATGAAGGTGGGCAGTGGGGTGGAAGCAGGAGGCTACTTTCCAAGTCTGATTCTACACTTGTCCAACCAGAACCTGCCCGAGCTAAGTGACTGGGGGTGGGTGCCGGTGCAGCCTCCGTTTAAACAAGCACCACCACCAAAGCAACTTCAACCTTAGAGCTAGTTGGGAGTAAGAGACACTTTCAAATTGCCATCAGGCTGGGCAGCCGTGGACAGAAACTCGGGGTCCACAGCGTTTTGTTGGAGAGAAGAGGGCCCAGCTTGTCAGCACCCAGCGCTTCCTGGTGCAGGCTCCAGGAACAGGGTGGCCTGGCCTACGTGGACACCGAGGAAGGAGGAAGGGGGCTTCCTTCCCCGGTGCCATTCCCTCCAGCAGCCCACGTCTCGTGGGACAGCGAGCCTAGAGGGGAGCTTGAGTTGGTGACGAGAACAGACAGCTGGGCCCATGCGCGTCTGAGGAAAACCAGCGCAGGCGTGGCCGTGTGGCCCGAGCAAGGAAGTAACCGCTCTTTTCCGTTTAGGGTTCGGGGGGGGGCGTGTGGGGGGGTTACATCAGGGTTCAGAAGATGATTAGCTTAGCTGGTCTTGTTCTTAAAGTGTTTCTGAAGGCTAAGAAATCTCCGTGACAAACAGGTGAGCGTAACTCACAGGTGGCAAGTTTCTTGACTCTCACACAAGACGACGACATCCCTTGATGGAAGAAGGCGGTGGGGGGAGGGGAGGAAGGGAATGGATCCCCCTTTCATTTTCCTTTGGGCCCTCACGCACTTTGACAGACACTAAGGAGGGAGCAGCGCTGTGGCTGGTCATGTTCTACACGGATCAGACAGTTGAAACCGTAGGGCTTAAAACACACACACACACACACATACACACACACACAAATAAATAAACAAATCTAAGCTAAAAATTTTAAACCAGACCTCTTTCAAATAAACTGAAAGATAAATATCTCCATCTGCAAGGCCAGCTTGCAATTCATCAACAAGCACCAAGTTACAGATATCGTTTTTCTAAAAAGTATGTTCAAAGGCCCATGCTCCTGAGGGGCGAGAAGCAGGAATGAAGGGCACACCGAAAGCACAGACTTCTCCAGGGTCTCCCCTCACAGGGGAGCAGTGAGTCCAGCAGGGAGAGGGGGCCTCAGAGAACTCCACCAACCGTCCTGCTCCCAGCAGCTGCTCACGAGCCTCAAGCAAATACAGATCACCAACAGTGCGGGAAAGCGCAGAGAAAGCAGGCCGCATCTGGCACCTTCGAGGGGGGTGGGGTACAATAACCAACAGACCCTTAGATTTGGAAAATGGGTTAAGAAATCAAATTCTGCCCTGGCCTCCTAATACTGAATGAGCACGTTTCCCAGCCACACCTGGGCCAGCTCCCTCTCGGGCTGTCCTGGTGTAAAAATGAGAGGGGCCGGGGGCCCTGTCCTACTAGTGCAGGGGTGGGGACAACCCTGCTGTGGAGCAGTGGCTTCCCCTGGGATGGTGCCGGAGGCCGGGGGTCAGTGACAACCAGAAAGTGGCACAATGCAGGAGTAAGGACAAGGAGACTGCTTTACTGCATCTGTGCCCAGAGTATGTGGGCAAACATCTTGGAAAGCCAGTCTATTTCTTTGGACTTCAGGTTAAAATTAGATTTTTTTTTTTTTAATGACGAACACCAAAATCAAGATGGTACAGATCACATGTATATACATACACACACATTTGTGTGTGTATATATATATATGTTTTTTGAACACATCATGCCTTCTCTCACTGGTTTTCACAAATGCTTGCCAGCCCTTCTAAGATTGAGAAATACATGCAGAAAGGGGGGAGGTGTGCACGGGGTAGGGTGACAGGAAAACCGCCTTGGAGGACAAGGGGCGGGACGGGCCGAGCGCCCGTGTGCTCCCGGCGCAGGGCCGGGCGGCACCTCCTGCGTCAAGCTGACCAGGCCCCTGCTACAGACGGCGCCTAATTCTGGCACGCCCCATGTGTATATGCAGACGGGTAACTCTATGTACACAGACCAAATCCAAACTATCTGCTGTTGGTTGCTTATGTCCCTCAAATAAAAGGCAGGTAGAATTTCAGACCTTATCTGGAAACTTCTTTCAGCCTTTAGAGATTCCTGACATGTCCGAAACCATCGCCCAGACTTCTGGGGCCACCTACTTTCAGTGTAACATCCTCAGTAGGGCCGCCCCGAGCCGGGAGCTGTCGGCAGCCGCCAATCCCGGGTCTCCTGCCCCACCGTGACATTCGAGACCATTTGTCCCTCTGGTCCAGGACCTGGGGCAGTTTGGGTGTCCAAGGTAAGAGACCACCCCCAGGAACAGCAGGAGAGGTGGGGCTGGACAGGAGGCAGTGGCCATGGCAGAGGGCAGGGTCAGCAGAAGATCTCTTCACCCTCCGCAGGCACTTCTGACGCGGGGCCATCTGGGAAAGGGGAAACCAAGGAGAAAGAACTTCAGAAAAAAACTGCTCTCTTCCTTGAACTCCCTTCCCTTCCCTTCCTCCTCAACCCGAGTCTTCTGGGATGCAACAGCTGCTGGCCGGGTAGGCAGTCCACCCCACCCCTCCCACTGGGGCTCCCTGACTGGTTTAGTAGATGAGGTCCTCTGACACCCTTTACTGTCCCCTGGTCCCTTTAACTTGACAAAGCACTGGACCTCCTATTCACAAACAAACAGGCCCAGAGACAGAAACTTCTCTTTGATCTCCCGCAGAGATGGGAGGGAGCAATCCTAAGGAGAAGGAACAGAGGGAGGACTTAGGGAAAAGGGCTGCACAAACTGGGAGCCTCGGTTAGTGGGGTTTAATCACGAGCTTGGCATCACCTACTTCACGCAGCCACTTGCGGGATTAATCAGACCTTGGGAAATGCTCACCAAGTACTAGTTATACCGATGACTGGACTAGACCTACAGAAAAGCGGGGAAGACCTTAGAATTCACTGAGGTGAGTGTCAGGCCCTCAGCTGGGTAACAACAGATGCCCCCACACGGAGACCCGCGTGCTCTCCTTGGCACCCGCGTGCACACAGAGGGGGTCCGAAATGCCCGGGGAGACCGTGTTCTTAGTGGCAGTCCAGGCAGCCCTCCAGAGGCAGAGCAAGTGGGCTCGGGGGGGCGGGGGGGCGGCGGTGGTGCAGCTCTGACACAGTCGAGCGGCACCCTCGGTTTAACCCTGCCCACCCTTCAGGATCCAGGAGCAACATGGCCGTAGGGAGACCTGGAGTGTGTCACTCACCACCAGGCTGAGAGCGGCTGCCTTTTTTGTTCTTCTTTTTCTCCTTCTTATCCTTTGGCTTAGCCAACCCAAACAGGCGGGTGGAGGCGGAGGCGGGCACGGGGGTCTGGCTCTGACCCTCGGGCACTTTGTTTGTCTGGCTGGTGGAACTCAGTATGTGAAAAGGCCCCTTATCTTTGTGTGTCCGAGAGAGGCTGTTCCTTTTTGGGGACACCGAGAGTTCTGAGTCCAGGGATCCTGATTTGGCGATCGAAGGTGCAGATGGCAAGGGGGACTCCTCAGGATTCGGAAGGAAGGATGGGATCCTCAGCAGCTTGGTGTGCTGATGTGACACCTGCACACAGTCAAAACATGAGGCTCTAAGTCAGGGGCCGGCGGCATCCCCAGGGCCCGCTCACTAGTGCCGAGGTCAACAGTGGGGGGCAACAGCCCGGTGTGTACCCACTTCTCGGACGCCACGGCACTCACTAAAAAGGATTCAGGACTCCTTGACTAGCCCTCCCCACGTAGTACCTGGGAAAGTGCTACAAATATCACCTTTGACACCATTCCTATTTTTACTACACGTACTTAACGTCAGCACCACGAAGAATTAATAGTACCTTCCGTGAGGCAGCTCAGAAGAGAACTCCCATTCCCCTAAGAAACGGGAGAGCTGCTTATGTGAAGACTGATTCACACAGGGCCGTGGGGAATTAGTTCAGGGCGGAGGGGCTACGGGAGCCTGTCGGGGTAGAGGGCGGTGGGGCGCCGGAGGTGAAGCCCGAGGGAGAGAGGAGCACCGTCTGGTCGGGGCCGCTGAGCTCCCGGGCATGGCGCTGGGGCCCACGGCCGCCCCCACCTTACACCTGACCGCCTCTGTGGGAAGCCGAACCCACCGCCCCTCTGCAAGGTGCTACTTGAGTTTCCTCTCCGGGCCCCAGGGCAGTCAGTCACACACACGGCCCCACGGGGCGAGCGTCCACCGTCAGCCGGTCGGCCACGGCCGTGCGTGCCCCCGCCCGCCGCCCCGTGCGCAGGACGCGGGCTCCCGTTACCCGCACCCCTCCGGGCGGGCGCCCGCACCTGACGGGCGTCGTGTTCCGCCTGCCTCTGGCTGAGGTGCTCGGCGTCGCGCCTCAGCTGCTCCTGCTCCCGCTCCAGCTGCTTCTGCGCGGCGCGCAGCCTCTCCAGGTCGCACTGGTAGGCGCCCTTGCGGTGCTGCAGCTCGTCGCGCTCGCGCTCCAGCTCCTGCTGGCCGCGCCGCACGTCCTGCTCGCGCTGCGCCAGCCGGGCCTCGCGCTCCTGCAGCGCCCTCTCGCGGGCCTCCCACTCGCGCTCGCGCCGCCGCTTCTCCTCCTGGTGCTGCGCCTGCTGCCTCTGCAGGTTGGCCAGGTCCTGGCGCTGCTTCTCCAGGCTGCGCTGCTTCTCCTGCTCCACCAGGGAGCTGGGGCGCGACAAGCTCCGCGCGAGCGCGCGCTCCGCCAGCAGCAGCTTCTGGTCCTCGATGTAGCTGTCCTGCTGCAGCACCACGCCCTGCGGTGGGGGGCGGGGGGGAGAGGGGGGCACATGCGGAGGAGGGAGGTGCCACCGATCCAGCCCGCCCCCGCCCAGGGACAGAGAGCACAGCTCTCCCCTCATTTTTAGGCGGGTCTGGTCGGAGCGCTCCACTATAACCTTGGAGTCCGTGCCCGCCCCCCCCCCCGGGGGGGGGGCACTTAGCCCACAGAATGTCAACTGTGTGGGGACCCAGAGTCTTGTTACACTTGCTCACACGCTGTTGACACTGCCCAGGGTGGGGGCTGTGTGTGTTCTGGAGGTGGGAGGAAGTAGGAATTGGATCTCTTAACAGTTTCGAGAAAGGAAGTGCGCAGAATTTAAGGATAATTCCCAGAAAATGCTAAATAGCAGTTATTCCGGGGAGGACTTCCCTATCCACACACTACAGGGAGATATGGAAACTTAAAATCATGCTAAATAAAGCACCCAAACCTTGTTAACGCTTCATGGGCTCTGCGCTAAGGTTACCAAGAGCACCTATACATAGTTCTGCCATCATCAATTCATCAATCACTCATCAATTCTATATTATGAGGTCAATGACACTCTAAGCACTGCATTTTGTACCCTTTCTCATGACAGCCAGTCTTGTCTTGATGGAGGGCCCCATTTTACCCACGAGCAGCTCACAGACCTCAAAGATCCAGGCCAACAATACCCTTATGGTTTCTCTTAAAACACGTAAGTGAAGGGGTGAAAGACAAAGGCCCGTACCTGCAGCGTGCTGAGGAGTTCGTGGAGATGAACGACACTCTGGACAACCTGCTGCAAAAGGAAGCAATGGAAACATCACCTCAGGACGGAGTCTCGGAACCCACTACACCGTGTCACGTCTTGAGCCTAACCCACTACACACACAGCAAGGGGCCTGCGTCTGAAGGGAATGTTTCCAGGCTGAAAGCACCAAAAAGAGTAAGCAGGTACAAATGGCCAAGAGATACAAAACAAGATCAAGCAAACGGAACAACTGTGCAGGAGGGCCATCAGCACCCATTAAAGGCATGATAAAGCTCCAACTCTCTAAAATGAGTGGTGCAAAAATGGTGTGCGTAACAGAACAGAAAGTCCAGAGCAAATCACAGGAATTCAGTATATAAGTAGCGTTCCTAAATCAATGGGGAAGGAATGAATATTCAACAAATTGCTCTGAGAAAATGGGCTAAATCTTTGGGAAAAATTAAGTTGGGATCCTGGCTCACACAAAACATATTCAAGCAGATTAAAATGTTAAGTGTAAAAAAAAAAAAAAAAAAACCACAAGAGAGTTGTGGAAAATATGAGAATGTCTCTTCTGATCGTGAAACAGAGAAGGCTTTTCGAAGAAGCAAGGCAAGCGGCCACAGATGTACTTTCACTTGCCACTGTGTGAAACATAAAATTAAAATATAAAATGCAGGGACACTTTGAACAGAAAGCCAAAGGAAAAACCCCTTCACTTAAAAAAAAAAAAAAAAAGAAGAGGCTCCCATGGATCAACGAGAAATGAATACCCTAGGAAGCAAAAAGGCAACAGAAACAGCAGTTTGCAAAAGAAGAATATAAATGGTCAATTATATGACCTATTAAAAATGATTCACCTTTATTTGAAATCAAATAGATGAAAAATAAAACACCACTTGCACTCATGAAACCAACAAAACAGCAGTTAAAAACAGACCATTCCCAATGCTGGTGAAAGCAAGAATGGCCCTCGTATGGAGGGAAGGGGCGCACGCCGCACACAGTTCTTTCTAGAGCGCAGAAGCGCTGCACCAGGCTGTTCCTGCTGTGTCAGATCCCACGTGAAGACGCAGAGGAAGAATGAACTAAACCATGGCACACAACAGAGCAATGTGCAGCTGTTAAAGAGCATGCTTGTGCACACAAGGCCCTGGGGAAATGCTTCGAATGTGTTGAGAGAAAAAAGGACACGAAGCTCCAGGAGGCATGGATATAAATGACACAAAACTATTTTTGTACTATTCGCACTCACGCAAACTTAAGACACATAAATCTATGTTGTGTGGAAGTATAAACACCCAACATTTAACAGTAGTTATTCCTCAGTGGTGGGATTATTTTACTCATTTTTTTCTTTTTTGTTTTTGGACATTTTCCAAACTTTCTACCACGACCACATATTCCTTTTATAATACAGGTGACCCGTGAACAACGTAGGGCTTGGGGCACCAACTCCCTTGCACAGTAGAAAATCCATGTATAACTTCTGAGTCTCCAAAAACTTTACAAATAGCCTACTGTTGACCTGAAGTCTTACCCATTAACATAGTTGATTAACACATATCTTTATATGTTATATGTATTATATGCTGTATTCTTATAAAAGTAGGCTCAAGAGAATTATGAAAAACGATAAGGAAAACACAATTATAGTACTGCACTATATTTATTGAAAAAAACTTGCATATTAAGTAGGCCCTTGCAGTTCAAATCCATGTTATTCAACTGTACTTAGAACAAAACACAAAAAACCTAATTATCAGGCTTAGCTCTTCTGAGAATACGTTTTTTACTCCTCTTTTCAGTTTATTCTTAGTATTAATTAAGAATATTAATATTCTTAATAAACAGAGAGAAGTCACCAAAGACCAGCGGGCTGTGGCTGGGCTTCCGCAGTGTATTATCCATGCTGGAATGCCTGAAAAGCCCTGGTCTGGTACTTTCTTCCTTGACCCTTGTCACGAAATACATGGGCGAAAAGTCACCGAACGGAAAAATATGGGCGAAATTTCATTTGAACAGGAGATACAGAGAGTACTAGTCTGTGTTAGAGTAAGTTTATTTCGTTTAAGGCAAACACACTGAGGGGGCTGCCTTCAGAATGCAGTGTTTACACCACAATGCCAACCAACGAAAAATACCCTTCGGCGTCTTAGGGGGCAAAAGGGGAAAGTTCCCTTTAATTAAAAATTTTAAAACAAAGCTCCTCAGGGACTTAAAGATATTATGTTAAAAGCAAGAAGAAACACAATGGCATCCTGAGAGGGAAGCCCCATAAAGCCACTGTCCCACAACTAAGCGTGCGTGCGCGCACACACACGCACACACACGCGCGCGCGCTCCGAGCCACATAAGTCTAGAGAGGGTGGTGGCCTGGGGAACAGGGGTTGCCGGCCAGGAGCAAGGAGCGGGGACGGCGGCGCAGTTCCCCGGCAGGGTCAGCAGAACTGAACGGAGGCAGGGGAGGGAGACCCCCCTCAGAGCCTGTGTTCCAACGAGAGGGACACCAAGGCTGCTTTCTGAGTGATGCACAACGCTCAAAGAAGACAATGCAACTTGAGTCCTCGCAGGATAGGCTATTACTACGCAGAGTGGCCCACAAGTTGAGGTGCCACGGCCCACACTTGTGGCTTTTCGCGCCAGGCTCGTGTGCCAGGCAAGCAGGCGTGGCAGCCCATGTTCCCAGAAAGCAAGAGGCCTGCTTCTCAGGGACAGAGGTGCCGAGGCCATGTTAGTAGGCCACGGTCTGGCGCAATTCCAGGATGATGCCCCGGGGGCCAGGGAAACAGCAAGGTAAGGAAAATGGCGACCCCACCGCTAAGTGTACAGATGGAAGCCAGGAGTCAGCTTGTTCGTAACAGCAAAACACAGATGAGCATTCCTAGCCTAGCAATTACGACAAAATCCTATTCTTATACATAGCTCATAATGCCCTTACCTCACTGTTTCTTTTAAGCATAAATACCACGTTAGCATTTCCACCCTATAAAACAAAAAACATGCATTTAAAAAAAAAAAAAAAGAAGATCCTCAGGCAAAAATATTTAATGTGTGTCTCAATTATGCTTGGGCTTCCCATTTTCGTTCTTTCCCACCACAGCCTCCCGCTGTAGGGTAATGAAGGTTTGAGGCTGGACTTAGCGGAAGCCCCTAGAGAGTCCAGGCTGGCGTGGGTCACTGACCCAAAGCTCTTAATGCCGGGGGGCGGGGCAGCCAGGACTGTAAGCACAGGGTTCTAGCCCAAGAGGTCTAACGGCCAGGGACAGGGGACTCTAATTGTAGGGTTCGTTTCAAAATGTGCTTTCCTCTCGAAGTAGGAAATGACAGCAAGTCAGGCATCCAAAACAAGATCCAAGGGGACTAACTGCAAAGATTATGGATGTAGAGGCTTTAGAAAAGTACCTTTTTGAGACCACTATCGGATTCGGTTCTCCTCAGATCTTGGCCATCCTCCCCCTCTTCCTTCTCACCTCCTGAAACAAACAAGGGGTTTTTGTTTTGTTTTAAGTGGTGGAAGAGATTAGCCAAGAAAAGAATACAATATATATAGCTTATATGGTATTCCTGCATCTTATTAATGCCAGAAAGGGGGAAGCCACCTGGGGGCAGCTCAGTGATTATTAAGAATTTTATGGCCACAGAAGAATTAGAAGCAGAAAGGAAAAACGAGTATTATTACTTCTTTGGCCACAGCTTAGCTGAGATCCCAGGAAATTGCTTTTTATTACTCAAAATAAGCGTGACACTGACAGAGGTTCTTGAGTATTTTAGCAGCCAACTACTCAATAGGCTTTCACTAAAACTTCTACTGACTGAATGGGACAGAGGAGATGCGGCTACCAGAATATGAGCTCATTCTTGGTTGTGTGTAACAGTCAAGGGTCACCTACAGAAGTATGGGTTCTAAATCATTTACTTTTTTTTTTTTTTTTTTTTAAAGTAAGCCCTAGGCCCAATGTGGGGCTTGAACTCATGGCCCTGAGGATCAAGAGTCGCATGCTCTACGGATGAAGCCAGCCAAGGGCCCCTAAATCATTTACCTTTTGAAGCATTCATCTGGTGGCTGTCAAATCCTCCAAAGGTCTCTGCTCTCCGGGGCAAGGAAACAGGACCAACCATGCCTTCTTGCTCAACAGGGCTACTGACAGCCTGCCCAAGCGTGCCTCCCAGGCTTCCACTCACCAAACCTTGAAGGATCTCCACTGGAAAAAAGGAAACATGCAAAAGTGACATTTCATCTTCCACCGAGAAAAGGAAAATCTCATGGTAAATACACATGTACAGGGAGCACGATCAAAAAATTCCAGAGTGACTAGGTGACTTCCTTTGCTCAGAGAAAGGCCTCAGCTCAGGATATGTGTTGTAACTGGATTCTACTGGGAATGCACAGATGAAGCCTTCAGCCTTACTTACACGAGGTCTAGGAAATTCGAAAGGGCACGGGGAGACAGTAATTTACTGGAAGGGGCATGGCCTTCTAGAGTCAGACCCAAAGTAGCCAAAAAGAATTCCCTAGGAAGTAAGATGGGCCAATTTGAGAGCAGTGCTAAAACCAGCAGGGTTTTTCCCGCTGACAAAGTGAGTTCAAGGGACCAGAGGAGCATAAGGCCTGGAATTCTCAAATCTGACCGGCAAGGCTTTTCTAGAGCAGTGTCCCCCAGAAAGGAGAAAGTGCTAAAAGTGGAATGAAATTTGAGCTGGAGAGGAGCAACAGAGGAGGCCAGATGGGATGGAGGGAAACAGGGGCAGGGAATCTCGGAAGATAAGCCCTCGTATTTAAAAACAAAAACAAAAACAAAACACAAAACACAACACTCCATGGAAACAGAGAGTCCTGTGAAGTGAGAAAAGGTATCTGAACCTAAAAACTTGGGAAACTTATTTCATGTAAAAATGAGCAACTGGGGAAACATCCAAGTCAAAGCCCACACAACGCTAAGGAAAGAAGAGAGCGAGAGAACGAACGAGGGGCAGGAGTCCCCGCGTGGGGTAACAGCACCTCAGAGAGACGTGTCCGTGAAGTGGACGGGCTACTTACTGCAAGGGGAGGACACGGCCATGGAGGAACCCAGGGTAGAATCGGGAAACACAGACGCCAAGGAGTGGAAACAAAGAGAAATGATCATTTTAGAGAGGAAAACCAGATCATAAGAGCAAAATAAACCCAACAGAAAATGACTTACCAGAAGGTGGAAGGAAGAATACTTAAACATGAAAAAGATGAAGAGATACAAAGCGTGAGGAGAGCAACGCGTACGGAGGACAGGCAGAGGGGTCCAGCATGCAGATCACGGGAGTTCTTGAAGAAGAGAATCCAAACAAGGGCAGAGGAAAAATACTAAAAGCTATAATTTAAGAATACTTTTCTGAAATCGGAAAACTCTGAAACCACATTAGAACGCTGTGACCCTGAGAACATCAACCCAGAACAACCCCAACATAAAGCGTATGCTAGTAAGACTACCTGGATTTTGAAAAAAGTAGCCTGGGCAGGAGGCATGGGACTTACACTCTGACAGGAATGCTTTACACCAGAGAAAAAAGAAGGACATTATTTAAGGGCAATTAAGAAACCTGAGGGAAGAAAGTGTGAACCAAGGATTTCATATCCCACAGAGCAGACTTCCAAGCTTTATGCGGCACCAATTATTACCAGTGTGCAAGGACACAGGGTGCAGTATTCTCACGAGCCTTTCCTGAGACAGCTACTAAAGGATGAGCTCCAGACGTCCAAAATGACAAACGACGTAATGAAAAACCCAGCAGCAATGACCATCCCTGCTGCCCAGATTGTGGTCTTAAAAAATAGCATTTCCCACTAAAAGATACAAGAGTTCCTCAGAGAAAGGACTCTAGACTGGGCAGAAAACAAAGTGAGTCTAGAACATCTTAATATACCAAAGAGCAACGAAGCTCTCAGAAACTCCTGGGGTCAGGTCAGAAGCTCCTGGAAGCCAAACAAAGAGGCGCTGGTTGGCAAATAGAGGACATTCTGAATGTTTAGTATGGATAATCACTGCAGTGACCTGAAAACCATCAAACAGGTCTAAATTCATGAGTCTGTAAGAATACCTAAAAAGTACAGGTCACCCTTAGAGGGTGACCACAGAGCAATTCACTATCCTGATAATTGGTAAATAAAGGGGAAAAAATCCAGTATCTATCCTTTTATCTTCTTTTTCCTGCATGTTACAAAGAAGGAGACAGCTAGCTATCCTGTGCCTCCGATAAAGGAGCACGACACTCCAAGAACACAGCTTACCGGGGGGGTCAAGCCTGAGTAATTAAGCCTCCGTATCCAGCTCAAAATCTGAAGGAACTAGCATATCGGACAGATGAACAGAAGCCCTGTGTCAATAAAAGCTGGACTCTGAGAGACACTCTAGGTCAAAAAGCTCAGATTCTTCGAAGATAAATTATGTGGAAAAGAAAGGGATGGTGGGGAGGCCTGGAAATTAGGAATCTGGAAAGGCCTTATAAAAAAACACAAGCAAGACTCTAGTGTCTACAAACAGGCCCCTGGCCAATAGAACTGAATGGAAATGTGTAAGTCACAGTACCTGTTCCTTTTGGGAAGGAGGGAGGGAGCTTTGGTGGGGACAGAACGTGTGGAAGGGCTTTGGGGTGTCTGGCCACACCTTATTTCTTGACCTGGGAAGCGGTTACAAGGAGGTTCCCCTGATAGTAATTTACGAAGCAAAATGTTTGTTTTGGGTTGTTTCCTGTACCTGTACTTTATTTTACAATGGAAAAGTAAAATTTGGAAGGTAATGTTAGTGCATAAAGCACTTTGGGAAGAGACTAAGAGGGGCAATTACCCTCATTTATTGCACTTTTCATTAAAGGTCCTCCTTTGAGAGCCTCTTCTGTGTTGGAGCGGAAGAGGATTCTAGAGCTGTGAGTCGGGGAGCAATCCTCCGGCAAGGGGGTGCTGCATTCAGTCATGTCTCGGAAAATCATCTCCTTCTCTTCCAGTAAGAGGAGGATCTGCTGGTCCTTCTGTTGAAGTTGCTCTGCAGGGAGGATGGAGAAAAGGGCTGGTGTTTGGTAAGAGAACCAGGACACCAGTGCCACCTTGTGGTCACTGGTGGGACAACACACAACACAGCTCCACCCCCCAAGCCCCCTTCCCACCGCAGGGGCAACTCCATCCAGCGTCTTTCTAGGCAAAATCAGAATTTCTGACACAACAAACCTGCATTTTGTTTCCACTCCCCTACCTCCTCTTTACTTCTCAACCCACTCTCGTCTGCATCTGCTCTTTCCAAGTCTATCCTTCATTACTGATCCAATGAGGCTTATGTTTCATCTTCTCCAGCATGGATGATTCCTCTCTCCTTTTTTTTTTTTTTTTAAAGAAAGAATCTATCTATCTATCTATCTATCTATCTATCTATCTATCTATCTATCTATCTATCTATCTAGACAGTACATGAGCAGGGGGAGGGGCAGAGGGAGAGGAAGAGAAAGAATCTCCAGGCAACTCTGTGTTGAGCATGGAGCCTGACATGGAACTCGATCTCATGACCCTGAGGATCATGACCTGAGCTGAAATCAAGAACTGGACAATTAACCAACGGAGCCACCCAGGCGCCCCTCCCCTCTCCTTTTAAACCGATCCTCCCCACCCCCTTACCTGGAGGACATCACTGGTTCTCTTCCTGCCATCTGCAGTGGAATACTACCTGGGGCTTCCTCTCAGCTCCATGCTGGGTGGCCCTCCTACACCTCCCACACGTCCTTCTGGGGGACATGCCCTCCCCTGGCTTCAGTGACTTCCCATGTACTGGTAACTCAGGCAAAGCAGCCTGAATCCTGCCCGCTTTTCTGAGCGCCAGATCGAGTCCCACCCGCCTGCGGCTAGCTCTGCTTAGATGCCTCGTCCTCGGCTTGTCAGAAAGCTCTTTTCTCCGTTCCTGCCATCCCCCTCCTCCCTCCGGCATGTGATCCCTTACGCAGCCGACATCCCCTTCATCCTCCAGCTGGGCCACGCCGAGGACCCGGGAGGGCTTCCGTCTCCCTGCTCCACCCTGCCGCCCACACCCACCCCTCTCCTGGGAGCCTCCTAGGAGCCTCCCAGTCCCGCTTTCTACTCCCAGTGGCTTCGGCACTCCCTCAAGCCATTCGCCCACGGGCTTCAATGCCAACGAAGACAATCGAGATGGACATTTTGCTACACAGATTGTATCATTCCCTTGTTGCCGTTCAAGCCCTGGTGCCTTTCCAGCTAAACCCCCACCTCCTGGCCCTGACCGCCCCCCACCGCCCCGACATCGCACACACTCAAGGCCTCCTTCATTCTTGCCCTAACTGCTCCTCTCGTCTGGTGCGGTAACTGCTTTGGACTCAGCTCCTGTGTCAGCTTCGCAGGCAGGACTTGGTCCTTTAGATGTGCCTGCGGTCCCGTCCCATCATTTCTGTACGTCTTCCTTGCTAACGGGGGCTCCCTGACAGCAGGGATGCTGCTTTAGGAATCTCTGCACCCCTAGCACTTAGCAGTGTGCCTGGCCGGGCTTCATGCATGTGAGGAGAAGGAAGTTTTCATCCCTGCCATACTAACCGTGGGCCAATAAATCAGGTGTAACTCTGGCTTCAGCCTAAATCTGCCTCCCCACCCCCCACCCCCAAACACAGTGTTACTGCTCTGTCCAGCTTAAAGGACTAACCAAACTCCTCGGGTGCTTACATTTATTTGACTCTGGGCCTTATTTCTACCCAAAGCACGGTCTTTACTTTGGAACATTCGATAGGCACCGGCAAAGAGAGGGGAGCACCCACCCTGCTGTTTAGAAGGCAGGGGAGAGGGGCGCCTGGGTGGCTCAGTTGGTTAAGCGACTGCCTTCGGCTCAGGTCATGATCCTGGAGTCCCGGGATCGAGTCCCACATCGGGCTCCCTGCTCAGCAGGGAGTCTGCTTCTCCCTCTGACCCTCTTCCCTATCGTGCTACCTCTCATTCTCTCTCTCTCAAATAAATAAATAAAATCTTAAAAAAAAAAAAAAAAAGGCAGGGGAGAAGAAGCCTCTGCCACGCTCCACGGATGTGACCCTGGACCCACAGCGTGGCCCTTTGTGGGCCTCAGCTTTCTCATGTGCACAACGGGGACTGGCAAACATGTCTTGCAGGGGTGCTGAGAAGACTACCCGGAACAGCAGGGACTCAGTAAACAGAGGTCGAGCATAATCGGTGAGCACACCTCTCCCAGAACCACCTCATAACTCATGGTGGACACGCAGCATGGCAGCAGGGGTAACTGACAAAAATAGCTTTAACTGGAAAATTCTTTTCCTCAGGTACCCTTCTGTCTGAATCTCGAATATGACCGTGAGTTTTAGCAAATTCTTCTGCGACAAAGTACAAAGGATGTCACACCAGGGTCCAAGAACACAAAGTGAGAACAGAGAATCAGTACCCCCTTGACCTAGTGTCAGACACCTTCTGACGGCCGTTTTACGGGACCTGGGACCCACGTCAGCTCAGGTTCAGTTGCTCTTCCATTAAAAGCCACTCACCACCCTGTTCTGAAGCTGCCGGGACAGCTCTGGAGCCGAGGGGTCGCACTGCCCTGGGAGCCGCTCACAGTCCCCCCCGACGGACAAGGTCGCGGATGCTTCCCACAGCTTTACCTTTCAGTTCTCGGGCTTTGGTGTCCAGCATCCTCTTTTCTTCCTCATTCTCGCTAGGAATTCCTTCATCTTCATCTCTGTTCCTAATCCCGAAACAAAACGAAATGGACCAACAGCCCCCACAATGTCGAGGACACTGGTCACTCCCCCCCCCCCCGAGGATAAAATCACAGAGGCTGGGATGGGCCCTGGCGTTTGACTTACAGGGTATTGATTGTGTCCTGAACGATCTGAATCCAGCTGTTTCGCTCCTCCTTGGAGCTGGCATGCACTTCCACCATCTCTGGGTCCTTCATCCCCATACTGATTAAGAATAAACCTTTCTCCTCATGTGCTACTTCCCTGACAATCAGCTTCTTTAACGAGATCACTGTTGATTTCTGGTCCTGGAAAAAGGGGAGAGGGTCAATGTAAAAAAGGCATACAATATTCTAACTCTCAAGAACAGCTCTGATCTAAGGCAAGCCCAGATGCATGATCTCACTCAGGTGTGGAATCTAAAAAAAAACAAAACAACCCCACACCAAACTCACAGAAAAAAGAGACCGGACTTGTGGTTACCAGATGTGGAGGGGTAGGGAGGGGGAATGAGATGGAGGAGGGTGGTCAAAAGGCACAAACTTCCAGCTATGAGATAAAGAAGCTCTAGGAATGTAACGTGAACACAAGGACTATGGCTAACTCTGCTGTTCGGTACAAATAAATATATTCTCAGGGTTCTTATCACAACAACTATTTTCATTTCTTCCTTCTTTTCTTTATATTTTATCTACATGAGATGATGAGTATTAGCTAAACTTATTGTGATCATTTAATAATATGTGTAAATCGAATCATCATTCTGTACACTTTAGATGGTGATATATGTCCAATTATTTCTCAGTAAGACTGGGAAAAAAAAGCATATGGTTTAACAAACAACGGTAGATTCAAGATAAAGAGAAGTATCTCGTTATTTCATCTACGTTTTATCAAACAGAAAAAGATTTCCAAAAAAGAAACAATAATTTGTATCTACAGGGTTTTCAGACATGGTTCCTACATGATGAATCCTTCTAGGTTCCTCTGTGACTCTGGCTGGCAACATTATAAATTAGCACAATTTATGGGGCATAATGTGCAAGAAATACTCCAGTGATCGATCTCTTTAGATCAAACGTCCAAGGCTCTCAAAGGGACTGAGAGGGAACAGAAAAATGTTTTTTTGGGGGGTGGGGTGGAAAACTGCAAGAGTATCTGAGGAAATAGAGGAATCTGTGCTGAGCAAAGTGATGTTGAAAGGGTGGGAGAGCAAGAATCCAGCGTTCCAACCCCACGCTAAGCCAGCTGTTTCAAATACTATTCCTTACAAACGGAGGGGACTGACGGTTCAGCTTACCAGTGATGCGAAGACGTATTTCTGGTCTTTTTCTTGAAGGAACACTAAAATGTCAGTCAGCAGAACTGCCTGAACCTCTGTGAAGTGGGGAAGGAGAGGAAGGACAAGGATTACTTAGCAGTGAAGCAAGTCAGAGGCCAACTCAGCAATCCGGCCCACAGAGCACATCAGGATGGCAGAGTGCTCTCCACTCCGCCAAGGTGATGGATGGGTTTACGTTTCTGCAGGATCCACATCGGGTCATTACATTTTTAGAGGCATTTTTTAATGTAGTTATCACCAAAGCCTTATCTTGACAAAGCCTGAGTACTCCATTCTGGAGAGATATATCCCATCAGGAGAGACTTGAAGAACAAAATACTTTAAGAATAAAGCTGGGAAGGACTTTAACAGATAGTAATAGCAACATATTCCACCAAATACTCAGGTCACAATACTCCTCGACTTCGAATCCTAATACTGGGAGAGGTGTGGGAGAGCAGACCGGAGAGCTGCCAAGAGGTGACGTATTGAAAGAGCTCAGTCTAGTGCAAGGTAGGCTTCCCCCGCACCCGCAGGAGGAGAGAATGGCTCCACAAGGCCGTCTCGTTCCACGGGTACATGCGAACACAATGGCTTGTCCCCCGGCTCCAAGAGGTCGTACTCAGCCTCAACCTCTACCACGGATACAGCCTGCCCTTCCTCTCAACTCAAACAAAAGCCAAAGTGAGATCCCTACTTGGATCTAGTAATCCAGGAAATGCCACCAGCTCTCGCTCTGTTGGAGAACAGGAAGTGGCATCTTCCAGTACGCCCCTAATGTAGTTAGAGCTAACAGGCTGGCCCCTCCGTGTCACCGACCCCCGCAGCCCCTTGGGGAGAGAACGGAGAGGACTTATGCGGCCCCCTCCCAGGCGGTCAGGCCTTCTCTCCTGCTTCTGCCCCAGCCGGAAGGCCCTCTCTGGTGACTCACTACACAGCTAGGAAGAGAACAGGAGCAAGCACAGCTGGTTCCTAGGGAGGTACCGTTTTCAGCCAAGACCAACCAGGCTGTGCACGACTACTCTGCGGACCACTATCGGTTTGGACAAGTTTCTTACAGTTTCCTTGTAAATAATTTGGGTGTCTGCCAAAAAAGAAAAAAAAAAAGTTCCGAAACAAGTTTCCACTTCATGGGATGCTGAGGCTTCTGTGATCAGTGTCAGTGGATCAGAGAAAAACAAGCCCAGCCCTCTCGAGGGGTGCCCCAGCGCAGGACTGGCTGTTCCTGGCATGAGCTCGCCTGAGGGGAAAGGGCTCCCCGCCAACCCCTAACTGCACTGGAGGCCCTTCAGGCCAGAGAGAGCCTGTCCTGCTGCCACTGGCTGACCACAGCTTCATGCCCACAGCTGGGATCCAGTCGTTGCTAGTTTGGGAGTGGATACATAAACCACCGTGCACAGGAAAGAACCAAGTGCTGGCTCCAGGCAGCAGCTGCTCTAGGAAATTCAAGGCCTTGCAAGAGGAGGCAGGCGCTTCCCAAGTGCGGGAAGAGTCCTGATCCGGGCTTCCTGGAGCAACCGAGGACTGGGGCTGGAAGGACGGAGGGGGCCTCGGGGATCACCCAGTCCAAGTTCACCATGCAGCAGGGAGACACATCTGCTGGAGGCAGGAGGGGCTCGTTCTTTTCTCTGAAAGTCTCCTGTCCTTCCTTTTCAGGCAACTCAGGCCCCTGCAGCAGGGGCGCTCCTGTGTCCGTCGCCAGTCTCTCCCCAAAGGCCTGGAACCGCTTGTCCTTTAAGGCACCCCCTCGCTGCCTCCACTGCTGGGCTAGAAAACAATCTACTGTGTCCCTTCCCTGCTGGAAACCCTCCACCTGGAACCCATTCTTTGCCCACCCCCATCAACAGTGTCAGCCGTCCATGTCTCCATCTGGACGAGGCCCGTCTCTGCCCATGTCCCCAGCCCTCCCTGCCACTGTCTCTGAGGCCGGAGAGCCAGGTGCGCCTGCTCTTCATCCTTCACCACTAGCTCCATGCCACTCCGCACTGCCTCCCCCAGTGCTCAGTTCAGCTCTTGGTTCCAGCACCCAGCGCACTGTGCGGCAAGCACCTCTTCACAGGCCTCTTCATTCGGAGCCCAACTTCTAGGCGCGGTCAGCTTCATTCACCTTTGAGGCCCACCAATCGCCCGGGACGTCTTTACTGTTTGGTCCAAGCCGGGTGAGACGCTAGCTGGACTCTAGGCTACTGGCTGGCAGCAGCTGCCTACAGTGTTCCTGACACGTGAGAGACGAGAGAGGGGCCCACATTTCATCCCTAGCCTTGGCTTTACGTCAGCGGGGCTGATGGCATGGGGCTGGCCTGCCTCGTGCATGCAGCTCGCAGGGGCCGGGGCCGGAGCCAGGCTGGGGCTGGGGCTGGGGCATGCTCAGGGCTGCTGGTCAAGTCAGAGCTGCTACACAGGCCTAGAGAGAACGGGTTCGATGAAAAGATTTATTTAAAAAAAAAAAAAAAAAAATCAGATATATAGATGAATCAACAAACCTCACAGTAACTTCCTTAACTTGATGTAGCTCATCCTTTAAAAGAAAAAATTAAAACCAGATGGAAAATTAGTATCCTTTATGATCCCTTGCTTAGAGGAAGATAAAAGAGATGAATTATCATCAAGTTTTAATTATCTAGTTGGTGTGAGTTAAAAATACATTTCCTCTAAGGTCTTGGGAGCTGAGAAGTCCTCTACCATCTGTCTTCAGGAACAAGTGATGTGTTTTTAATCTCACAGACTCTGAACTGCTGCCTGATGGGGCTTCCCCTCCTTGCACCTGTTCCCAGAGACGCCAACCCCAAATGTGTTGCCCGTTTCTGTAGAGGAATACGCCTTCCTTTAATAGCCCAAGTTTTTGTAGTAACCTTACACTTGGTTTTTGTTTTTTTTTTTTTTTGCCTTTTTAAACTGCATTATGAACTTCACAATATAGAACGAGCATCTTGCCAGAAGAGACACCTAACACCAGAAGGTTTATAACAATGGTACCCTGAGAACATTCAGTTCAGGAGGCATGTGTGTCTTCCTATTATGAGCTGGAGGGAAAACATCAGGATTCGAGGCCTAGGCCACACTCCTCGTGACAGCCATGGTGAGGAGGGTCAGTGCTCAGGGCCCGCAGGCGACGGCTGAACGGCTTTTCCCTCTGCTGTCTCACCTCCTCCCGAGCCTTTCCACATGCGCCCCCCTCACCCCATGGCCCTCCGAGCCACTGACACGTGTCCCAGCTATACTGCAGAATGGGACCACCGACGACTGACTCGAAGCACATGACACACCGTCACTGGCTTCCAGGGCAGGGGCAATGGCTCTCCATTATTAGCAACCTGCTTCTTTTCACCCTTCCTTTCATTTTCTTGGCTGGCACGAGATTTTTTGCTCCTCTTTGGACGTCACGGCTCCTGGGCCTGTCCTTGTGGTCTCCCACTCCTCCCGATTCTGGACACGAAGGCCACGCCGCAACACGCAGACCCACACACCAGCCCCCCTCTGCCGCCTCCTCTCTGGGGCCGCCCCTGGTCCACACGCCCTCGGGGCCACCGGGAGCAGGTGCCGGGAAGGGCCACCCTGCTTTGCTTTTAAATTAGTTTTTTTTTTTCCAATTTCCCTACCTGCGTTATTCCCTTGTTATCTTACTGGAGGAGTTTCTGATCTTGTAATTTATCTCAACCTCATCCTTTTTGATATAAAATTAAGAACTATTAAAGGACTGTTGCTCCTGTATGATGTGCGGACGTGGGCTCCCTAGGAAAAACCTGGCGGCGGGTTTCTAACAAAAACATCTGAATTCTGCTTGCTCTTTCTCCGGTACATGGAGACTCAAGACAAATACGAGCCTTACCTTTCAACCTTCCTGCTGCGTTCTTCAGAAACACAGCCCCGTCCCGCACGAGCTTCTTCCGCTTCAAATCCTCCTTGGCAAACATCTGGCCGCTCTTCATCCTCATGATCGACTTGCTGTCTGTCTTTGTATAAATCTCATTGAGACGCACTTTCTTTTCATAACTTGCCACTTTGCTGTCCACAGCTCCAATCACATCCTTCACCAGGCTCAGGGATTGAGCCAGATCTTCCTGCTCCACGTCATTGTCTTGGAAGGAAGGAATAATCCTGTTTTTAATGGATCCATTCAGACAAGGAGGGGAAAACCTACTTCCTCGCCCCACACCGTCATTTTCCCTCTGGGGGGACAGGCTGATAGTGTGTCTGGCAGAGTGAAGCCAACACACCAAAGTTCACATGCCAATCGCTGTCATAAGGTTAATTCCAAATAAAGTTAGATGTTTTCACTGGTAAACACAACACACAATTCCATACCATGTCCTGAAGTAGAAGGATCCATCAATTTTAGGGAGGGAGAGGAGCAATAATTTTTTAACTTCTGTCTTTGTTTTACCTCACCTTTAATGGAACTGCCTAGGAGCAGGGTTAGCCAAGAGAGAACCTCGTAAGTCCTGGCTAAGTGAGAAAAAGCAGCAGGTCTAGCACTCATGGAAAGAAGTAGGGGGAAGCGCCACCCAATCTTGTGGTAAGGGAGAAGATGCTCAGGGTGCAGAATCTGGAGGGAGTCAGTAAGTGGTTCTTTGCCTTCCTGCTCTCATCCGCCCTACATCTGGTGATGCAGCATTTCAAGTTTTCACTTAAGAAAACGTTTTTCTGTTTTTAAAGATTTTATTTATTTATTTGAGAGAGAGAGAGAGAGCACATGAGAGGGGGGAGGGTCAGAGGGAGAAGCAGACACCCTGCTGAGCATGTTGCTTAACCAACTGAACCACCCAGGTGCCCCAAGAAAATAGTTTTTAAGGCAAAACACAGGATCTCTTATAGACCTGTGAGAGCCTGAAGGAACTCTTCCTTGGGGCCCCTTGTGCTGCTTGACAGACGGGAAACAGTCCGCGGGCACACACGACTGGGTAAGGAGACGGGCTCACCTTTGGTACACTGCAATATTCTTTGGAATAAAACTGGGTATTTGGTGATCCGCTGGGTCACCAGCAATATGCATTCTGGGATTCCCAGCCTCCTCACGACGGCGCTGCTCATCTTCTTCTGCAAAGGACAGAACGGATTATCAGGAGCTACTGGAGGAAGGTTCTCGTTCAACTGACAGCAACAATGCCCCAGACAACCATGCAGATTTCCATTTTTCACACCAATACCTTCACAAAGGCCTGGAACCGCTTGTCCTTGGTATAAATGTCTTTAAAGTAGTTCACAGACTGGTTATGCTGCCCACAAAACTTGCCGTACGTCTTCTTTAGGCGTTCTGCATTCTCCCCTGAAAACTGTGGAGAAAAGCCAAAAGACATTAAGCCGGAGCTCAGGGTGCTAAAATTTTACCACCGTTTTGTATACGGTTTCCAGTCTATTCATAAAAGCCAAGAGCGCTTCCCCAAGAACTCCCCCCAAAGATTCAAATGGCACAGCAGCTTTGGAAAACAACCTGGCAGTTCCTCGGAAAGCTACAGTTACTGTGTGACCGGCAATCCCGCTCTGAGGCACAGGACGTACTCCGCACAAAAACTTGGATACGAAAGCTCATGGGTGCCATATTCACACGTGCCCCCAAGTGGAAAGAAACCAAATGCCCCTTAAAGGATAATGTGGTAGATGCACAGGATGGACCACTATTCAGCCACAAAGAGGAATGGCATTTGGATACATGTTACAATATTGATGAACCTTGAAAGCATTATTCTAAATGAAAAAAGCCAACTGCAAAGGTCTCTATATTGTTTTATCCCCTTTACATAAGAAGTCCAGAACAGACCAATCCAGAGAGACAGAGAGGAGATTAGTGGATGCCCAGGGTAGGGGCAGTCGAGGGGCAGGGTGATAAAGATGCTCTAAAAGTGACTGTGATGACAGGTGCCCAACTCCGTGAATATAAACCACTGAGCTGTACATTTTCTTTTTTTTTTGAGCTGTATACTTTCAATGGGTGCGTTATATGGCGTACGAATTTATTTCATTAAACATGTTATATATATTTTAAAAAACCACCACCCAGAAATATCTATGTACTGTGCACTTAAGTAATGCAAAATGTGTTCTAATTTCCATGTGTCATAAACACAGTGGTAAAACAAGGAGGCTCACTAGAAGTTAGAAATTTCACCTTGATAAAGTTAGAAAGGTATCAGAAACAGCTATTCTTACCTAGGGATCTGCATACCTCTCCTGCCTCAGGTCAGCAGTCCTAACAGTTCTGCGTGGCCTTTCATCATTCCTAAAACGTGTGCGATCTCAATGGCTCATCGGAAGATATGTTCACTCTGGGGTAAACCAATGAGTTTCTGTATGGGGTCCATATGATGCTTGCTAAGCATCAATTTCCACTGTACTAAAAACCTCTGAAGGCAACACAAATCAATCCTTACCAGAAAAACTTGAAAAAAGGCTCAGGGTAGCTAGCTTTTCCTTTTCCCCTTTACCAAAGGGGAAGCTAAGGCAGAGAGTTTAGGTGCTCCACTCCCGTCACGAAGCAAGTGCTCTAAAAGGGTGATTCTAGAACTGGCACACAGAGCCAATAAATGGACGCCATGGCGGAGGGGCTAAGATATGAATCCTTAGGTGCATGAGTACAGTGAGCCATGGACAACACCAGTCAGGGTTAGATGAGGGACCTGTGCGGGTCTGAGGGCAGAGAGAGGGTCATGGAAAATGTTGGGAGGGGATGTTTGGGGAGGAAAAGGTCCTCACCTGCAGAGCTGACCGCTCCCACTTTGGGGCCCTATTTGCGGCAGACAAATAGGGCGTTCCGGCGTGCACCACACTGTGCGTGCGTTTACCTCCTACCGTGCCTACGTTCACCTGGGAGCATGGGGTCCATGAGGCACAGGTCGACGCTAGTCTGCCTTTGTGGTTTCAGCTGAGACTTATGCCCAGTAAACAGGTGAGAGAGGAATGAATGAATGAGGCGAGGGGTATGGACTGAAGAATATAAGGGAAGGACAACACTTCCAGCTCTTGGGCAAGTGTTCCAGCAACGAAGCCTCTGCTTCCACCCCGAGGCAGAGACCTGCTGGGGAAGAAGAGCTAGTCGGCTTCGCTGTGCCCATCTGTCTGTTAGGGTTAAACTAGCAAAACTTTTTTCAAAATAACTTCTGGTCCAACTGTTTTTGGAGCAGGGTTGAAACCATACCACACCTTGATGAAAATATCAGCAAGATCTATTTTATGAATTATTTTAGACAGTTTCTTATTCAATTTTCTATGCTCAGTTGGTTTTCAGATAAATGAGTTCCTTTTTGATTTGAGGCACAGGGGACGTTGAGATTCCAACAGATAGCTTTTGATTTCTTAAACTACCCTGTTTCTGATGACAGTCTGGATGCTGAGAAAGGAAAATGGACTTTTACTGAGTATCTACCATATATGCTAGGTATTTGATGTACACATTCCTTTTAATTTTAAAAAACGGTGTTAGAGAAAATCTGTCCTCATTTACAGAAAAGGAAACTGGATGCTCAGAGAGATTCAATAACTTGCCTAAGCTTATAAAGATAACGAATAGTACAGCCAGGATGTGAGTGAGTGGCTGCTGAACCCTAAAGCTTCACTTTTTACCCCATTTTTTGGGAAAGATCCTTCTCATTGCTCACCTGATTTACAAGCACATCTCCCATCCTCTTGATGAGAAAGTTCTTTTCACTTTTATCCACTAGAGATTCCTTCTTCCGCTCCAGGATCCTCTGAAAGAACTGGCTATGGATACCGATCAGCTCATCCAAACAGGGGAAGAGCTTCTCCACCGTCTGCTGCTCAAAGAGCAGCTCCGTCATCATCCCCCGGCTGTACACGTCGCTCATGATCTTCAGCGTCCGGATGTGGTGCAACTCTGTCTGCATCAACTCTGAAGGAGGACAAAGCCTAACGGTCAGGAATGTTCCTTTAAAGCATGCTCCTTCAAAGGTCATCCGTGGCCATTTAGAGCCCACTTTAGTCTTAAAGCTGTTTACAGCACAATTTAAACTTAAAAACTGGGTCAACAGCTGTCTTTCCCCTAAAGTGTTCACATCTGATTCCTCTATTTCACGTGACCTAACAGTGTTTTCTGACAGCATACTGGATTCCATCACTCTTAAATGGTGGTTTCCCAAGTGGTCTTTGTTGGATTCAGAGCCTTTCATAATTTACTGTGTCCCATTTCCTAGAAATGACTCGTGCTTGGTTTCCAGTGTAGCTGAGGAATCAAACTGTACCATCACAAGAGATCTCTTTCTAGGGCGGCTGCGTAAATAAGCACTCACAGTCAATAAGACATTCAATAAAATTAAAGGAAACAATTTTAAAGAGAAAAGGATAGATATAAGATCCTGTCTCTAGACCTCAAAGTTTTTGAAGAAAATCTCTGACATGCTACATACTTGAAAATTGGCTTTCCATGGTCTAAGTGATTCCCCTGATAAAAAATGCTGCACAATGCAAACCAAGTACCAAGTATTAGCAGAGCAAATGGAGAGTCTCACCATAAATCACTTCTTGCCGTTTGACCACATCTTTCTTTTGCTGTTTCAGAAACTTGCTGTCCACTAGGCGACTCCAGGACTCGGCTTCTAGTTGTTTGGATTCCATCTCGAAGTCCCCCAATAGCTGTCCTTCATTCATGTCTGTACCTACTCCTCAAAATATCAAAAGATCAGGATCAGAATCTGGGTTCTGTGAGCTCTAGAAAGCCTACGCTGGACTCTCCTCGGGTGATAACTTCGTAAGACACAAACATGGCATTGACACAGGGAATGTTCCCAGAACGCATAGTCTAGTACCAGAGAAGAGTCATTTCCAAATGTTTGGGAGTGACACATTCCACATTCACGACTCTGGATAAGAGTGGTAAATATCACATAAATCAAATGTGACTGAGATTCAGGATTCCTACGTGAATAAGGAATTGAGAAGGACCTGGTAACTTTACTTGTTGAAGACCGCAGGCTCACAACCTGTCGAGAGAGCTACAACTCTCCGCGTACCAAAAGTCCAGGTGAAGGACAAGTGTTTGTACTAGAGAATGACCACATGAAAGTAACGACACCCCTCAATGGACAACTACCTAACAACTGGATAAGTCTGATTACCAATTCAATATAAAGAGTTTGCTGTTTTAGAGGCAGGTTAGAGAACCTTCACAGGAGTAAGGAAGAGGCAGGTACTATTATTCCATTAACAATTATATTCAGGGAACGGCACCCAGTCTCCACAGATGTGTAAGACACAGGCCATCATTTCCTCTTACCCTCATCAGTTAGTGACTCTGTTGACTCATTGACCTTGCTGATTTTATTTAGTGAGTCTGTTGAATGAGACAGGAATTTCCAGGTGTTTGATATGTTCTCGTCATTGCCAACTCTGGGGACAAAAAGAAGCACCCACTGTCAAACACATTTTGATAAACCATGGTCTGCATTCTCAGCCTGAAAAACTCTAAAAATGACAGCTGGCTCTAAGTACCAAATGACGGAAAACAAATTACTTAACGTCAGGTACCCGGCAACATGCAACACAAACTATTAATGAAGGTCAGAAGCATCTAACATCATTGCAAACTTGAACTTCTTGAGCCTTCAATTTTTTTTTTTTTTTTTAAGCATAGGTAGCAAGGAGAATGCTCTTCCCTTAAACTCTCTACACATTACATAAGAAATTTCTCCATTTGAAACTCACTGTGTAACCGCTAACTTTATCTCCTTGTTCTCTAAATAATCTGTAGACCAAGCACTTTTAATAAACTGTATTCCCTGGACTTTCTCAAATCCAACCCACCAGCCAGCACAGTAGGCCCCCAGTAATGTTTCTGGTAGGACACAAAAGCAAGCCAGAGTCATTTAAAGCTTTACATTTTATTTATAAAGACTAGCTTTTTAAAGTCACATTGCAAACAAATTTTGAAACCATAACAACTCTGAAAGGAAGGCCTTTGAATAATGACAATACAAAGACAAAACAAAATAAAAATACCTGAAACTTTTTTTAAACAAGAAAACACTAGCCAGCACAGAGGGTAGGATGTACAGACCAAGGAAGATTTGCATCTTTAGTTAAGAATCTTGTTCCGGCCCAGGTTAAGAGAGGTGGAAGAGATGCTTTCAGTCCTACATTTGAGATGACTTCTTTACTTGATGGGAAAGCAGGAGTCTTATTACCCAAAACAGCCAGCAACATCATAATCAGCCCTGTGCCAGCCATGTGACAGCTTCGGCCTGAATAGTCAGGGGCCGTGGAAACTTTTGCAGGGACCACAAAAGGAACTTCGTGCAAATGAGTGAGTGGGGATCCAATAGTCGTAACTGGCCCATTATTCACTCCCATGAAACTGACTCAAGAGTCAATATGCAAGCACAGGAAAGAGATGTATAAAGAGCAGAAACACTAGGTTCATCTGACCAACAGAAAAGTGTAATATCTGAAAATATAAGTGGTTACAAACAAAAATCAGAAATAAGTCATCCCCTCCGGCCCCTCCATTTTCACTTCTTATTTTCATCTAAAAACCATCTTTTTTTAACTCAGGTTCCTTAAAAGCGAGGTTGACCATGCATGAAGCATAGGACAACGTGGCTGATGATGGTGTTTAAAGGGGATCCTTGCTACAAAATGGCAGGCATGACAGTGCATCAAAATGCAATCCCCATGCTCCACGTCTGTAACACTTGGTTGTGCCCCAAGTCATTATTTTATACACTTTTTTTCCCCAATGAGAAGAATCTCTTTGTCAAATGATATGGTTATTAAGCTCTTGTCACCTAGCTGTCAACTGTGCAATCTTTAAATCCCCACTTACCCAGCAATGTTCTGTATGGAGACGCTTTTGGAGAGTGAGACACTCTGCTGGGACCGTCTGTTGGCAAACATGGGAATGGCAGTAGCTTCATCCGCCAGGAGGACTGCAGATCGAGGACGCTCCTTGGGCTGTGAGGCTGTAAAGGAAGAGAGGACACCGGCTGAACCACGTATCCAAGCTCACAAGTAGTGACTCATCTGACAAATGCCAAATAGAAGCAAATGTCTTTAAAACAGATTTGCCCTGGGAGTGTAAGTGGGTACAAAAACTCTACAAAGGACAATGTGGCAGTATCTACTAAAACTGCAAATGCCTATATTCTTTGATCCGGATCTCCATTTTAGGATAGGTTTATTCTACCTTTTTTTTTTTTTTTTTAAATGTAATCTCTACTCCCAAGATGGGGTTTGAACTCACAACCCCAAGATCAAGAGTCTCAGGCTCTACCGATTGAGCCAGTCAGGCACCCTGGATGTGTTTATTCTACAAGATATACTTGTGATGCTTGAAAGGACATTATGTCCAAAGTCATTCAATGCAACGTTGTTGGTTAAAGCAAAATACAGGCAATGACACAAATGAGTATCAAAAGAAGATCTATTAACAAATTATGGTACATCACACATTGAAATACTGTGTAGCTTTAAAAAAAAAAAAAAAGAGTACACTCTCCATGAATTGATGCAGATCTCCAAGATAATATTGTAACGGGGGGAAAAAAAATCAAGGCCCAGAACAAAGTTGCACAACAGACTTCCACGTTTAAGAAAAAAAAAGAAAAATAAGCCAAATTGGTACTTGCTTTACTTCAATAAAGAAACTTGAAGAAGATAAATATAAAATTAAGAAGAGTGGTTAGCTGTGGGGTGGCATGGAGATTAGGCAATGGGGATGAAGAATCATGGGATGATAGTATATTTAAACACAGAAAATAACTCAAAGTAAAATAAAATAAAATTGGAAGAATTTTTTTTTTTTTAAAGATTTTATCTATTTATTCATGAAAGACAGAGAGAGAGAGAAAGAGAGGCAGAGAGGGAGAAGCAGGCTCCCAAGGAGCAGGGAGCCCGACGCGGGACTCGATCCCAGGACCCTGGGATCATGACCTGAGCTGAAGGCAGACGCTTAACCATCTGAGCCACCCAGGTGCCCAAATTGGAAGAATTTTAAGGATAAAAGGAACCAGAGATAACAGAGGCCAGTGTTCTTTGCGAGTGCCTATCCAGCCACATCTGAGGTGCTTGGGAGATATGCAAACTCCCAGCCCTTCTGGTCCCTTGGGGGTGGGACCTGGGAGTCCACACATTTTACGATCCCCAAGTGATTCTTCTGCACGTTGTTGGAGAATGCAGATTTTGACCAATTCCTTTAATTTACAGCTGAGAAAAATGCAACACTTTACTGTCACACAGCTAAGCTGTTCTCATACTGTGCAGGTCTCCTGAACATGACCAGAGAGGAAACTGAAGCTCTAATTTGACGCTCAAGTGTCACACTGGCATTTGGCTACCAAATTATTTTTCCTTGGTAACTGAGCTCGTGCTCCAGACACGAGCTGCATGATCTCTCTATCCCCAGGAGTGTCAAGAGCTGGAGGAAATAAGACTGGGGCAGCTGTTATGACATTCACGGCATGGCAGGATGTTTCTGACTTAATAAAAATTAATAAAACCATTAATTTCCAATCCAAATTCTATTTCGAGGAAGGTGATACAATAAAACACCAGAAACACGCCAACTACCGTATGACCAGAGCCTTCCTGCAGGAAGCACATGAGAAGCCGGAGATGTGGGCCCTGCCCCAACAGGGAATAAGAACAACAGAAAAGGGAATGTGCTGAAGTGTCCGAGAGCCTGGGGCCTATCCTCGGTGTTTTAGGAGGGAGGTCAGCGCGCGGATGAAATCCGACAGGGGAAGAGACGCTGGTCCTTGAAGAACGGCAAGGAGGTGGGCAGTCGGAGGGAAAGGAGGACGCTGTGATGAGAACCGTATGAACGAAGGCAGGAGTAATCACGGGGTAAGACACACGGAGAAGAGAACAAAGGAGGAAAGAGCAGGTATATGAAGAATCAGCACAAAAGGCTGGAGAAGCAGAAGGAAGTCGTGCTACGCAGAACCCTAAAAGTGATAAAGGACAACTCGGGTTTTTTTTTGAATTTTTTTATTTCTTAAGTAACCTCCACACCCAGCGTGGGGCTCGGACTCACAACCCCGAGATCAAGAGTCGCACTGCCTGAGCCAGCCAGGCGTCCCAAGAACAACTTTGTTTCTAAAGGACAGAATAGGGGGGTGAAAATAACAGCTTTCCCTTGTTTGAAACCAATCCCTACTCCACTCAGGAAAGTGATGTAATATCTGAGCCTCAGTTTCCCTATTTCTGGGGATGATGAAAGTAGCCGAAGCTAACACTTACGGAGGCCTACTATCAGGTTCTTTACGGGTGTGATCTCATTTAAACCTGAGAACCACCCACTGAAACTGTTACCATCCGTTCACAGAGGAGGAAAATGAAGTACAGAGTGGGGATGTAGTAAATGCCCAAGGTCACACGGCTACTGAGTGGTAGGGCTGGACCCAAACCCATACAACTGGAATCCACAATCTGTACTCTTCACCACCACACTGTGTCGGAAGGTGTAAAACAGGAGTGAGAGTACTTGCGTCAGAGGTAACACACATAACCTGACATATAACACGTATTAAAAAAAAAAAAAAAAAAAGCTTATTTTCTCTGATGTGGAAAAAAAAAAAAACAGATTTCTGAAGCAAGGGACAATGTCCCAGAAAAAAAGTTTAAGGAAGATCAGACTGGTAAAAGATGTTGGAATGGACTGGATCACTGATTAAAGTGGGTGTCGGTCTGGCGAAACCTTTCTTATAGTAATCTACATGCAAAGACTGATAATAAGCAGACTTAATCCACCTAGAGGGAATCTGCACGCTTCTGGAAGAACTCAGAGCAACCTGGTGTGGAGCGGCGGTTCTCAAGCTTGAGTGTGATTCAGACTCACCTGGAGGATCTATTCAAGCACAGATCATAGGGCTCCACCTCTGGGATTTCTGATTTACCAGGTCTCAGTAGGGCCCAAGAACGCACACTTCTTATCGATCCAGGAACTACACTTTGAAAAACACTGCCTTAGGGTAAGTCCCACACAGGTGCCCGTAGAGCCAATTAAGATGATATTCAGTACTGCATTATTTACAGTGGCAGCTGGAAATGACTTAGATATCCATCTTTGGGGGAACCAATAATTAAATTATGGAACAACAGCTTATACATACAAGCATGCGTAGATTTTAAAATGGCAGACTGAGAAAAAAGAATGAAGAAGTTTAAGTCATATCTAATACAAATGCAACACACAGTTATTTTCAGATATAAACATCTGTGTAAAGACAGAGCAGATCAGAAAGATACATGTTAAATAACTACAGTGGGTGCTACGGAGGGGAAGGAAGGAGGAAGGGAATGGGGAATGAAAAAGGGAGAACATTAAGTAAAACCAAAGTGGAGCCTTGCACACCCTGGTGAATGGGACAGCCCTTGGGGAAAAAAGAGAATTATTTACTTAACTTCACAGTTTATAAACTAAGAAGATTTTTTTAAAAGGATTTTATTTATTCATTTGAGAGAGAGAGAGCACATGCACGCAGGGGCGAGGAGCAGAGGGAGAAGCAGACTCCCTGACTGAGCAGAGAACCTGATACGGGGCTCGATCCCGGGACCCTGAGATCATGACCTGAGCCAAAGGCAAACCGAGCCACCGAGGCACCCCCTAAACTAAGAAGTTTAATCGGAAAGATCTCATTTTCTTTGTGCAACCGTGAGGTGCTAAAAACAAGCATAACTGTCAACCCATGGAAGAGGAATTTCGAGATGCATGGGATCACCTGCTTAAACAGACAGACAACAGGGGTGCCTTTCAAGCCAGTACACACACTATTCTAGAAGCCTTCCAAGGGAGTTTGATGGTAGAACGTTAGGCTTTTAGTCAATCACCTGCAGCCTCCTCTAACTTACCACAAAATAAACACTCAAATCTTGATCAAGAATAACAGATGAATATTACAGAAGTGTGTTTAAGTCCTGAACCAGAGTCAAAAAGGGCTGGAAGAGAGCAGGGCTGAGTGACTTACGCTTGCTCCTCATGATGACTGTGGGCAGCGAAGATGTGTCCTGTGCCTGAAGGCTCCCTCTGGGCTGCTGAAGGAAAAAGGGAACAAATAAATACACGCAGACCGCGTCCACAATTTCTCCTCTGTACGGTCTCAGGAAGCCCAGAGCAGGGAGAGAGCTCCAGCCCGGCTCCTGGCCAGGTTGCTCAGCATCCCGCCAGCCACCCCGGCGGGCTGAACCCGCCGAGCGCCAGGACCCCACAGAGGCTGCTTCTCCTGCCCGGAATGCCCTTCGCCCCAGGGTATCCCTCCATTTCAAGACCACGTGAGAGCTACCTCCCGGGGAAAGCCACCCATCACCTTCTTCCTCCTCCCCCAAGGCAGTGCCTGGCCGCCCCTGAGAATCCTGCACAGACCTCCACATAGTTTCCCCCTCATGTACGGTCCCCGTCTGCCTGACATCTTCCCCAGCAGAATGCCAGGTCCTGAAGAGCAGCATCTGTGCCTTTTTTCATTCCTGTTTGTCCAGTGACTAGCATTAATAAGGGACTAAAGAGTCCTTAAGTCAAGTACGAATTCCAGTTAAGATTTTTGTTGTAGCATGTGAAACACTGTGTGTGAGAAGTTACAGAGTGAACCAATTACTCGGAGATAAATCATTAGTGGACACAATTTTAAAATGGAACTCCCCCTTTTGGGCTGTGTTCTCCTACAAGGGGAGATGCTACAGCTCTATCATCAGCCTTCTACAGAACCTAGTACATTCCCAATAGCGCCAAGTCCTGTCAGATCACAAACCCAGTGCCCGTGGGGTCAGGCAGGCAACAAGCGAAGGAGGCCAGGTGGGGGGTGGGGGTGGGGAGGGAACCCGCACATCCTGTGGAGGCGGCGGCAGCCGCTCAGACCCCGTGGCTTACCACTTCCCATCCATCTCCCCAACATTCAGGGACCTAGACCTCCAGAGTCCATGCTGGATGCTTAGGATCTATCAATGGATCAAACATCCTGACTTCAGACTGCTTGGCAAGTTCGGTGCTTACAGGCTAGTGGGGGGTAAGGTGCAAGACCACACAAAATAAATGTAGTAAGGAAATACAGGCTGTTAAATAGAAACTCTGAGAAGCTGAGAAGTACTATGGAGAAGAGGAAGAAGAGCAAGGTGAAAACTGGGAATGCTGGGTAAGAGGAAATAACCAGGGTTGTGAGATCTTCCAATTTTCTTTTTTTTTTTTTTGAGATCTTCCAATTTTTTTAGGAGAAATTAGAAATCCCAATTGATATGAAATGTGATTTTTAAAAATAACCCCATCATCAACAACAAAAAATACTTCAAGAGCCAAACAAAATTTATGCCCATGGGCTGATAAGATCTGGGGTACAGAAGTGTATCATTTTTACACTAGTTCAGACTCGCAGCATCTGCGTTATCTGGGAACTTACTAGAAATGCAAATTCCTGGTCCCCACCCCAGAGTGTGCAACTCGGGGAGAGGTGTGCAGTAAATGGTCTTTTAGCAAGTCCCTGAGGTGACTCTAATGCACACTCATTTAAGTGTGAGGCCGCTGTAACAGATAAATGTTTGCTCACTGATGCAGCACACGGCACGCTGAGCATCGTGTAGCTGCAGCTGGAGAGTGCTCTTCTGACAAGGACAAAAGGACATTTATTTATGGGTGACTAGAACACTGAAAACCACGGAGGCTACCCCGAAGGCAGGCCCCCAAACCCACTCTCTTTAAGGGCCACCTGAGAAGCGGTGCCCATTACTGCACAGCGTGCGTGCCCAGAGCAGGTCCCTCCACACACCCGGCACGTGTCCTATTCTGACGTCACGTGACCTGAGCCAACTGCTTCGTGCCCCGTGGACACAAGTGCCACCAGGCAGCCACGTCAAACCCTCAGCCCTCCCCAGCTCCCAGGAGCTCAAAGTCCCTGAATGACACCTGCTGCCCTCAGGGTGGCCGGGAGAAAGCGGGTGTGTGGCCGGCAGAGCAGGCCTGCAGATGTGGCTCAGAACAAAACCACCTTAACAACAACACCGAGACGCTAGAAACGCAGAGAGATGTGTATTTAACACAGAGTTCTGAAAGCATTCTGTTTTCCAAAAGCCACAGATGCCCAAGTGTGTTAATCAAGAAGAGACCTGGTCGTTTTAGAGAAGAATTACTGTTTGGTTGTTTTGGTCTCAGTGTTGGTACCATATGATTACCATAAACAAAAACCCCAACCAGGACTCTCCCCACCCGGAGAAATGTCTTACCTTCATTTTGACCTTTGCACAGGAGGCCAGACTTTCTCTACAGCCTTTGTGGACAAAAGCACTGCAACCTGAAAAGCAAGCAAAGCCCAAGGTGACTTCAACCCAGCTAAGAGATCTTGGACTCGGACTTCCTGCAGCCACAGCAGCCTGCGGATTCCCGAGTGAAGTCACTCGCATGTCAGAATGGGGCTCTAACTGGGATTACGGACTGCAGTCCCCTTCCAGAAAGCAGGCGTGTGATGTCATGGGGAGGAGGAGAAATGAGAGCAGATGTGATTTCTGATTAACGGAAACGAGAAGTCTGGAGCTTCTCAGGCAGGAAGCTGAGAGGCTACCAAGCAAAACGAAAAGTAAAAGTGTCTGCCGTCAACATGTGAAGTCAAAGTCACAAACAAATCCACCAAGAGAGCCCCTTACCAGGACTTGGGAAATCTGTATGGCTGTGTCAAAAGACACCTGTTTATGTCCTTCTGCTTGGGATCTTAACCACCCTGAGCTTTCTGCCACCCAGCCGGAGTCAGGAGACGCAAAAGAAAGGTCATCAGAACCACCCCAGGCACATCTGGGAATCCTGACTCAGGATAAAGTGGGAGACTTCCTGAAAGACGGAGGGGAGACCACATCTGCCAACCGAACCTCAACCCTGATTTCTTACTCCCTTGGCGCCAAAGCCACTGATGTAAAAACCCAGCCCTCTGGGCCTCAGAAGGGTTGTTGTCAGCTCTTACTGCTGCTATGAAGTCATAAAACAGAACTGCGCCAGGAGGCCAGAGGGGAAGCAGAAGCAAATAAAAGATCTGTCTGTGGGGACACGCAGTGACGAGAGCCTCTCCAGGGGAAGGCTCCCTGAGAAAATCAACCAGACACCATTCAGTAGTCAGCGCCACAGGTCCTGCCCGCATCAACTCACTCACTGTGGGCCGAGACGCTGTCCTGGCGCATACATGTGGATGTGGGGAGACGGGAGCGACGAGGGCGAGGACACGGCGCTAGAATGGAGACTGCCAGAACCCCCGGTCCCAGAGGCCTCTTCCCACAGGCCCTTCCTCAACAGTTGCGCCCGCAACGCCTACTTGGTTCATGGATCTCTAGCACCACCCGTCACGCAGTACTGTGATGGTCTTACAGTTTTCTCCTCCAGAGTGCTTCATCTATTGCTGAGTCTTTACATCTCTCTAGCACAGTGCCTGGCTTGTGGCTCCTCTTCAAATGCCTAGTTTACACCCTAAGTCGGTCTCTTTCATCAAAGGCCAAGTGCTCTGATACAACACTGATTATAAAACGTGAGACGCCAACTTATTAACACTAGCAGGAGCACAGGAAGAGCTGCTATGCAATCACATCTGATTTTGGTCCTGGCTCCGCTAGTTAGGGTGACCCATGCAAGTCTTTCCTTAGGGCCTAGGTTTCTCCATCTAGTAAACGAGAGGTGGGTCCACACTCCCCGCCACCAAGTTCCTTCAGTCTGTGATTCTGTAAGACTCTTCACACCTCTTAAGAAAGGGATAATTTTTCAAAGTAAATCCCACTGGACCGTCCCACCAGGTTCATGCAGCCGAAGATTTCAACTTCTGCGTCATCTGAACTATCACTAGGGCAGCTCCAGCCACTCCACAGGTTACGATCAGGGAAGGGCCTAAACGGGAGGAGTCTTGACCGAGGCCACCAGCACCCGGGAGGCTATCAGGAGCACGTCTGCTTTTGTCAACAGGATGGCCCACCGTCGGAACTAGTCTGCAGTCCTGGGGGTAGGATGAGGCCTGGTTCTAACCCCTGTGACATTCACTGTCTGGTCACCTTTCTGTTAACAAACCGGAAGAGACATCTAAGTTCCTTTACCAATGGCAGGATGAGGTGAGGCTCTGCTGGGAAAGGCTCACATCGGCATCAAGAGGAAAAACCTGGAAGGTTTTAATTCCGTCAAAACTCTGTTCCTGCCCTGCCCCTGCATTCTCCTCCAAGAGCAGATGGCAAGGGAGTGACTTGGAGACCATGCCCCTTGTCATTTCTACCGCCTGTGGTCAGCTCCGTGTGAGTCGTGAGCTGCTCTAGAAGTCGGCAGTGAGAGAGAGGTTATGTACCACTGAACAGGAATGCTGGAGTTTCTCAGCAATGTCCCTTTCTGAGCATAAGGAGGCCTTTGCAGAAAGAGACCCCTGGGGAGTGACTCATCCTAATCAGTAAACATTTTGAGGATGTTTCTCTGAAGAACCGGAAACCACTAGCTCTCATTAATTTGTCCAGTTCCCTGTGACTTGAAAATAAGGATCAACCTTGATAAAGAAGTCACTGTTTTACTACTGAGAGAAAATGTAGAACCACAAATAGAAATCAGCATAGCTCCTGAGAGGTCAATGTGGCCAGGCCTTCTCTGTGTCATGCAGTGTAACGCCTATTCCAGGACGCAGACCCCAGCGAAGCCTCTCTAGCCAACAGTCTTCTCGGAAGGGCCAAAGAGCCAATAGGTAGGCTGGACCATATGTCTATATTGGTTTGTATTTAACATTTTTTTTTGCCTCTCACCTCCCAGAAACTCTTCAGTGGCTCCCCATCATCTTTAGGATAAAGCTCAAATTTCTTACTTGGCTTCCAGCACCTCACATGCTTGGTCATGCCTGTGAGCCCTGAGCAAACAGTCTTTTGTGCTTGTACCCCTTCCCCTGGCTGGGTCGGCAGGACTCACCTCGATGACGTCCTGGCTCACCCAGGGAAGAAAAGATTCCCCACCTCGGCACTTGTGGAATTCCACGCCTGCTTCTGTCACGGCACTGGACTGGCCACTCTGTTCCGCTGGACAGAAAGCTCCTTGAGAGAGTCTCACTTTGTCTTGCACGACTTTTATATCCCTATCCCCAGTTCCTGGCCCACAGTAAGCACTAGATGTCTGAAGAGGGGGAGAGGTGGGCGGGTGAGCTCCAAGCTAGTGGACCCACCACAGCAAGAAACACCACGCAGTAGTCGAGACAAATTCCTACAGTCATTTTCTAGTAAGACAGATGCACTCCCCCATCCACACACTGTCTTTACTCGGGGCGGCTGCCACGCAGATGCCTGGGAGCGCGGAGCCCCTCTGTTCCCAGGGCCCAGGGGACCCATCCTCTCTTTGAGGCTCCGGAGCTCCCTTGCCACCTTTCCTCTGTCTTCCACAAATCCCCGCTCAGCTACAGTGTTCCGAGCATCTCTTGTTTAATCCCATTCCTCCTTCTCCCCTCTCAGAATCTTGCTTACGAGAACCTCTCATTGGCTCCCTTCTACTTAATAAAATACACTTTAAAAGGTGGAAGGATAAAGGCATATGAGGAAAATTAATGAATCCATATCACGGGCACATTTTGAAATGAAATTAAACATACTGCCACACACAACTGCAGAGGCTTGAAAGTGTTTAAGACTCACTGTAAAACAGTAAGAAAAAGACAACGCAACAGAAAAGTTGCACAGACCACGAACAGGTCATTCACAACACAAAACGGTGCCTGCTCTCTCCAGAAATCAGAGAAATGCAAACTAAAACAACAGAGAAATACCATTTTGTGTCCAACCAGGCTGGATACAATAAAAGTATCCAGTACAATAAAATACAATAAAAGTCTGCCAATTCTAGGTACGGGTGAAGAAACGGAGATGCAGGAACTCTCAGCATCTGCTGAAGCTGGTACCTTCATATGTTGGACAGTAATTTGGCAACATACAGTTAAGTTGACAAGGTGCCCGCTTTATGACTTAAGCAATTCCCTTGGTGTACAGGGATGTTCCCTGCAGCCCTGCTTATAACAGAGAGAAATTGGAAGTGACCCAGATGACTTAGTAGTGGGACAGATTTGATATATTCATAAAATGGAATACCATTTCAGAGTTAGAAGTCAATGGTCTAGATTGATCATTTGCAATACTCTGGATCCCCCAGATTTAATGTTGAGGAGAATAAAGAAAATTACAGAATGAGATAAGGTACCATTTATGTAAACTCAAAACAAAAAAATTAAACGTTTATGTGGGAGATAAAATTACAAAATACAGACTACATACACAGAGGGGCTCTGTGCTCCCAGGCATCTGCATGGCAGGCACCCCGAGTAAATGACAGTGCTTGTCCTTGGGGAGGGAGGAAGAGAATTAGGCAGGGAAAGGCGGGGATTCAACTGTAATGTTTATTTCTTCAAAACTGAAAAATAATCTGAAGCCATATAACAAATTTTACTACTTTTTCATGTTGAGTGGTGAGTACATAGGTGTTGTTACATTATCCATGTACTACTTCCCACTAGTATTTAAAAACCAAAACCCCAGTGTATCATATCCTAACATCCTCCAAAGTTCCTTGGACTTCCTTATAAACATTCCCTTATCCTTTAAAAAAGTCAATCATAGTTGTGATAAATTAAAAACAATTTTTCAATCAGCCTCTCTTGTCTTCTATTCCAGTTACAAAAGTGCATTTTCTTCTCTGCTTTCATGAAAATCAATAATGTTTTTGGCATCTATGGGCAACAGAGGAGGTGGGATTTGCCTGAGAACCTGCCACTAATTTTGATCTAGAAGAGACCGGTCAGTATATTGGGACATGCATGTCCTGTCTCCGAAGTACATTCTGCCTGTGCCTTTCTCCCCAATCAGTTCTAACACCACAGAATTAAGCAAAGGTGATTTTTGAGGTGGTGCCATCACTTTGAAACAGACTTCAGCAATATGCAAGTTCTCAGGCCAGTATTTGAGACTTAAAAGACATCTCCAACTGATGAATCAACCCACGCAGATATAATGATAAAATGTACTTCTAAAAAACAACTTTTCATACAAATTCACTTTCTTAATTAAGCTGAGACAGGTCCCCAAACCTCTAACCCAGCTGAAATTTTAATATGCTCTGTAACAGGGTCACGAGTCTCAGTGATAAGTAATTCGTGTGGATGTCTGCCTAACATACTCAAGTACCTACTTGAAAAACACTCAGCCTGTTACCAAGTTGTCCCAGACTGCAGCCACAGTTTTAGTGGTGTGTGGGAGTGGTTTAAGAAACTCCGGCCCCACTGACATCAGCCAGAGTCACGAGGTTAAAATCTTATTC